AACCTAATGGGGGGGGGGGAGGGGGCGCGTGCCCCCTGTTCCCCCGTCTGCCTGCGCTGCTGATGGAGACGTTATATCTGTGTACGGAAACTTCATCTTATGTTTTGCATAGTGTGCTGTATTTTTTCGTTTTGGACGTCGCCAAAATTTGCTGTTTAAAAACATTTTGGCACCAAGCTTTACGCAAATATATACAGTTTTGTCGCCGACTTTCTCCACCAAGTCGGCAGGTTTTACCATCCCTGCTGTGGACCCTCGAGAAGTGGACGAACCTGAAGAGTCGTGGAGGATCCCCTTAAACTACTGTGCAACTGGTTCTTCGCGTACAAGAATGGGAAAGATGGAAACCTATCAAAGCTCCAGGCAATAGCTAGTCATTCGGAAAATGCCAGTGCATCAGAAACTTTTTGCAAGGAGATCCTTTTGGATCGAGGCAGTTGCCGCCGCAGCGCAGCACTATGACCTTTCGACCCCATGACTGTCACCACCACGCCGCCAGCTGCGGCCGCTCGCCACGGCCGGACCCGTCACACCCGCCCGTTAATGTCACGGCCACAGCGATCGGGGCAGTTGGGCTGGCTGAGTGCGGGTGAGCTCACTGAGCTCCGAGTATGCGAACACAAACATATATGCATGGCAACTGGAGACGCTCGACCAGCAACGCTGTCACAATCAGCTGGAGACGCCCGACCAGCAACGCTGCCACAATCAACTGGAGCCCCCCGACCAGCAACGCTGCCACAATCAACTGGAGACGCTCGACCAGCAACGCCGCCACAATCAACTGGAGACACTCGACCAGCAACGCCGCCACAATCAACTGGAGACACTCGACCAGCAACGCTGTCACAGTCAAGTGAAGACCCGTAACCAGCAACGCTCTCACAACCAACTGGAGACGCTCAACCAGCAGCGCTGTCACAATCGACTGGAGACGCTCATCCAGTAACTCTGTCACAATCAACTTGCATCGCGCATCACATTGGCGCATACGTTTCGTTTGCCACACATTCTGCCTGAAGCGGGTGAGGGCTGCTTTTTAGCGCACCAGCTTGAAACGATGTCACTTGAATTGCAGGTAGGTATGTAGTGTATGCTCATTGAAACGAGCGCCGACTGAGCATTTCCCATCCTGACAAGTCAAGGAGAAATCATTGCGTGACTTGTCCTCAAACACTGAGCGCCAACTAAACAACTAACTCCCTTCCTAACTCGCTAAGTGTGAAGGGAAACCTTCATCTGGCGCGCGGCGGAAGCGGCGAAGTGGGCGCAAGGGGCGAGGAACTGCGGAAGATTAAACGTTTTTGGCGAGAGCAGGGTCCGGGAGGGAAAAACAGCGATGTGGCGCGCAGCTTGGAGAGGAGGGTACCGCGCTGTTTGTGCGCTGTTGGAGGCCAGCAGAAGTGACGTGCTGCGTGGCTCAAATACATAGCATTTTTGAGATCCGCTGGCTGCTTCTTACACTAAGTCCCTTCCTGTCTCCTCTCCGTACACATTCTCTGCGCCACTCTGCCCCCTCCGTTCCCTTCCCCCCATCATAGGCGTAGAAACAGGGGGACCAGGGGGGGGGGGGCATGGCCCCCACTTTTTAAGGTGGGGGCCAGCAATATTAACTGGCCACCCACTTTTCAGATAAAGGTTGCATTTGGCTCACTTTTACGACGCATTAAACATGCATGCCGATTTACCTAGCTTACCAGCCATCTCCCTTAAGATACGTCATCTTTTTCGTTTGCTCATTGGCCATTAATTAGTATTACAGCCGCAAAGTCGACGCCGCACGGCCCGGAGAGTGCAACGCCGGGCGTCGAGGCTGTTATTGCTATGACTTGCGATCACGCATGTTGAACACCATATTACGTAGTTTTTTATCAGTAATCAGCTCTAAAAGGATCTTGAGCATTTTAAGACGAACATGGGCTAGCCATGTTAATACAAATTATGAACCCCATTTCATCTGCAATCTGCAGTCAGGGAGAACTCAATATCTCTGAAGAACACAGAAAAAAACATGGAGCTGGAGTCTATATAAAAGCTATCGGATTGCCTGCGGTGATCAGGGATGTTGTTGCGGCCAATGAGGGTCCCTGTGCGGATCCGGGGCTAACTGCGTGGATCAGAAAGCCTCCCGTGTCAAGGATGGGAACAATGTGATATAATATATGCCTCTAATGACCTCCGCATCGACCAGGAGATCCTGCCCCGTGCCACCAGGATGATAGCCAGAAAACACTTCGCGATGGGACGGAATGGTTCTTCAGGCCTTGACCGGAAACGGTAGTGTACCCCTGGTGTTCTACTCAAGAGGCCCCTGGCCCGGAAGGGAATACGGGGTCTTATTATTGTCGAGTAGAGTGGGGCTCTCATCATTGTTGAAAAGCCCGGGTCGAAATTAATTTAAAAAACGGGCAAGGTCATGCCATGTTTGCCTGAGAACGTTAATTTCTCTCAGAATGTATTATTGAAACAAATTACATCGAAAGGCTTGAACATGCGCGCGCGCAACCTCGAGAGCAGGGGCAAGGATGGTCTGAGCTGCAACTTCCGTAAAACCGATAAGTTTCGGCCACTGCAAGTGCCACCAGACGGCGGGCGCCGTGTCAGTCTGTGTTCTGGATAGATAAATAGCTGCGGAAACACGAAAACAAGATATTTTACCTCCACTCTTCCAATTCAACCACCAGATTCCAGCCCGACTTCGCCGTGCTTTAGGGACCAATCCGTTTTTTTCATCAATGTAAAAATTGCACGCGTGACATATAACCTCAGACTGCCTTCTAAATACAAGATCTGATGTCATGAAGCGTCCAAGGATACTTTCTCAGAAGCGTCGTCATTTTCGTCCACCCGTTGGCCACAACTTAATATTAGCTGCTAGGCCGACGCTGCGCGGCGTACGGACACTGCTACGCCTGGGGGCGTGGCTTGTGTTTCTAAAATTTTCGAGTGCGCATGCTCAAAATTACGCCACATAACTTGCATAACTAGTTGATTTAAGTGTTTAAAGGTAACCATTTCAGAAGCGTCACCATTTTCGTCCACCGGTGGACCACGGCTAAATGTTGCTACCGGGTTTACGTTTCGCGGACCATGGAGACTGCAACGCCTATTGTCGAGTTTTTTGTTGCTAAAATTTGCAAGCGAGCATGTAAGAAAACACGTTACATGAATTGTATCACAAATCGATTCTAACTGAATGATGAACATTTTCAGACAAACATGGCTTAGCCATGTTAATACACGTTGATGACCACTCGATTTTCAATCAAAATTTCGTCTTTTGATTTGTATCAAACAAATCGATCTACACGCTACCTTCCCGATGTCCTCAATGTCTGCAGAACCCAGATAAAAAACTGACAAAGCTTCTGAATTCTGTCGGTTTAGAAATAGTCAGCTAACTATTGCAAATTAACAGCGCAGGTGGTTTCTTCCATGCAGTCGTTCAACGCCTGATTTATGCAGCTTATTGACCTCAAAATGCAAACAGAATTGAGGTCACGGTCGCTCCTGGTTTCTGTTCTGGTTACAAGGTAAAAATAACATTTAAACGAAGAAAGACATGTCGCTTGTCAACAAGTAAGCCCTATCCGGGGATTTTTTTTTTTTTGGGGGGGGGTCAACATAAGATGGGCTTTTGTCAATCCTGTGTTCCCCCTTGGCAAGGCTCTGGCTACGCCCCTGCCCACACACAAAAGCAGATCAGGTCGCGTACGTTGCATGATGGGCAATGAAGTGTCCGTTGGGCCAATCTATACCTAAGGCAGACAGCCTCACGGAGGCTATTTTTCTGCGATAGCGTGGTATAAAGAAAGATAATTCGGCAAAAATGCTGTTCCAGGTGTCACATGTTTCACACACCATGTAGAAGTAAGGCTGATCCAAAAGTATGCAACAAAGTGGCCGCACGATCAGCTCGCAGTCAGTCATGCGGGAGACATACAGGCCAGGGCAGTGACCACCGACGGTGGACAGGACCAGGACCCAGATAAATAACATATGCCAGATGGGCCTTATTATGTGCCTTGATTCTTAAAAGAGAATCTCCAGTTTTATGGATTTTGTCACATTGTTTCTAGCAGTTTCAAGCTCCCTAATTTTTTCCGCCTAAAATGCTGCGACAAGTCTCATTTCTTGAAAAAACGGCCGGCGAAACGAAGGCGCATGCAAAACCTGGCGTGCTGTGAGCCATCGATCCACTTTCAAAATTCTCACCAGTCTATATCCATGCCGTATTTTGGCATCTACGCTCTGGAGGCAAATGCTTCCTGAATGACCCAACATACCTACCCGCTCGTGGGATTTCGTCTCCCTAGGAAAGACAATGTTAAAATGAACGAATAATCTAGGGAAGCTGGATAGCCTTATTTGTCAAATTACAGATGAATCGAATAGGTAAGATTGTGCACCAGTGATGAACAGCTCTAGATGCATAGCTAGCATAGCGGCCATGACATTTGAATAAAGAGCGATAACAATCTCCATCCCTACCCCCTACGCCCTCCCCCCGGTCATCGGGCTCGCTTTCCAGAAAAAGTTCCTGAAGTACACCGTGAGCTTGCGTCTCCCCTCCCCCACTTTTTGAAACGTTCCTACGCCTGTGCCCTCCATCCCTCCCTCCCTCGCTCCCTTGCTGCCTCTCACTCCTAACGTGAATGTGTAAGGACTTTTCGATTTTCCAACTAGACATCCTAGCAATCACTTGGTCCAGGCTTTCATCATTGTCCGCAATGGAAAGTATATTTGAGGCCTCTTTTGCTGCAGCTCTGTTTCCATCGATTACCCAGGCAACAGTTCCAGTTATCATCAATAGATGGCCTTGGCTCGGCGCGTTCACACTCGAGCCGTGGTGGCAGGTGGTATAACTTAAGCTACACCTTTTCACCACTAGATGGCTGTAGCATCACGCAGCGTTTCCCTGCAGAAGCCGCTGCGCGGGTGTTGCGCAGCCAGTGGGCGGCGCCGGGGGCGCCCGGCGGCGGCACCGGCGGCGCGAGGGCCCGGACGGGAGCGTGCGGGCGGCGCGCGGCGGCGACTGTGTCAGTGTGCCTCCAGACTCGGCGGCGGGGCGGCAGTCCCGCGTCGCTATCGTCAGGTATGGCCCAGCGTCGGTGGCGGCTCCCCACGCCGACGCGCGTCGATACGCCTAGACGGGGTGTCGGTGACGGGCGGCCGCTCGACGCCCGTACATTGATGGTGACTATGGGGTGGCTGGCACCATGTGGTTGCTGTAACCATGTGGTTGCTTTGACCGTGTGGTTGCTGTAACGGTGTAGTTGTCTCGACCGTGTGGTTGTCTCGACCGTGCGTTTGTTACGACCGTGTGGTTGCAGTGACCGTGTAGCTGACACAACCATGTGGTTGACGCGATCGTGTGGTTGACGGTGACCGTGTGGTGCTGTAACCGTGTGGTTGCTCATGTTCTCTGGTTGCTAGTGGCTGATCACGTGGGGCACGGTTGTACCTGGGGGTGCGTTCCTGCCGCCGCAGCGCAGCACCATGACCTTTCGACCCCAGGACTGTCACCACCACGCCGCCAGCTGCGGCCGTTCGCCACGGCCGGGCCCCTCACACCCGCCCGTTAATGTCACGGCCACAGCGACGCCGCGACCGGCGCGCCCTGGTGCGCTGGCCGGCCCGCGGCTTTATCTGTCTGGGGCAGAGGTACAAGCCTTCCGCGTGGCGCGCTGGTCTCCCGAGCTGTTACTGCTCTGCTCCTGTGCGCTGCCCCCCCCCCCCCCCGAGCTGCTGCTGCTGCTGTGCGCTGGTCCCCCCCCCCCCCTACTGTAGCTGCTATCGCTGGTCCCCCCCCCCCCCGAGCTGCTGCCGCTTCTGCGCGCTGGTCCCCCCCCCTCCCGAGCTGCTGCTGCTGCTGTGCGCTGCCCCCCCCCCCCCGAGCTACTGCTGCTGCTGTGCGCTGGTCCCCCCGAGCTGCTGCTCCTGCTGTGCGCTGGTCCCCCCCCCCCGAGCTGCTGCTGCTGCTGCTGTGCGCTGGTCCTTCCCCCCCCCCCCCCGAGCTGCTGCTGCTGCTGCTGCGCGCTGGTCCTCCCTGCAGATACGCTCCACCATTGCCGGGTTTCGTGCTCCGGTGCCTGACGCGCCGGCTGGGGGCGAGCATGCCGCGCCTAACGGCAGCGCCGGAGCAGCCGGCCGCGGCGGTCTCGCAACAGGCGAGACAACAGTCCGATGCGGTTATATGTGTCTGCCATCTCACCTGTCAGCTCTGCCAGACGGGGGCGTTTGACTGACGCCTTCTTGACATGGACCACAACAGATTCTCATACTGTGTCCAAAGTATGCACGCCAGCACGGTGAGCGGAGCTGTTGATTGCCGCAAACACCATGGATTTGCGATGCATGATGCGCCCTTGGAGGTGTATTCAGTAGTGCACACAAACTGTGATGATCAAATGGGCCTTCAGGGTCAACTCAAGATCTCAGGCAAGCTGTGGTGTCGAGGGCGTAGGCTGTGAGACGGGTGTAACGTCAGAAGCATGTGGACAGACCGCACCACTTCTGGCTGCACCATGCAGGTCTGCCGCCGGCACCAGTCAGGCCCCCTCCCCCCCCCCCCCCCCCCAGCTCCATGTCGACGCCCGCGCGTGCGGAATGGTGCAGGTGCGACGCCGCTAGCAAGTTCCCATTACTCAGTGTTACACCTGCCACGTCGGCGCGCCGTGTCTGGCTGTGACGCTCGATGTGCCGGACGGCGCCGCAGGCCCCGAGCGCAGGCCGTGTCTGGCTGTGACGCTCGATGTGCCGGACGGCGCTGCAGGCCCCGAGCGCAGGCCGTGTCCGGCTGTGACGCTCGATGTGCCGGACGGCGCCGCAGGCCCCGAGCGCAGGCCGTGTCCGGCTGTGACGCTCGATGTGCCGGACGGCGCCGCAGGCCCCGAGTGCAGGCCGGGATCGGGGACTCACCAGCGTAGGCGTCCCCGCCCGGCTCAGGTGTCTCTCCGGGCGAGCTTCTGGGGAAGTGGGCGCCAGTCTGCCCCACGTACCGGTCGCGCGCGACGCGCCTCGGTTGCTTGGTCTGGTGCTGACATCTGCTGGTTTTCTGGTGTAGCATACTTTGCTATGTCGTTGGTCTTTCCCGTAGTCGCTTATGGTAACTGCACGGCTAGGAAGGAACAAACGAATAGAGGAACTATCATGGGCCCGCCGGAACACAAATTATGGTTCCTCGCACGAAACTGGCGGCTGGACGTGGGAAATGAGTTATTTTAACAATATATATTTATTGAACATCGCGTGTCTGAACACCATTTCTTGGCACGTATGCACACTTGGTTGGCGTTATAATGATAGGGAAGTTTTCAGGAAGGGTAGTTTTTGCAGCCATGGCAATGCCCTGTATACCATTAGCCTTGGAGAGCTATGGAGCCATCTCTGTGACATAGCAGGGGCCGCTGAGCCATGGAGCCTCTCAAGGCAAGGTGCTCGTGAGAAGGTCTCAAGACTTGCCAATGAGAACCCGGGATGGCCCCGAAGATGGTCTAAAATCCGGAATGGCCTGAATAGCTGGTTTGGAGGCACTGCGGACCATTTGAGATGCTGCAAGGGACTGCCTACCGAAGGTTGGTAGCTTGCGAGAGTCATGGGTTTGGAGGCACTGCCGACCATTCGAGATACTGCAAGGGACTGCCTACCGAAGGTTGGTAGCTTGCGAGAGTCATGGGTTTGGAGGCACCGCCGACCATCTGAGATGCTGCAAGGGACTGCCTACCGGAGGTTGGTAGCTTGCGAGAGTCATGGTCATGCTTCTTACGCCGGAAGTCATCACCAACCAACCGAAAATGAGGACCACATGCCAGCGGTGTGCATTCGAACTGCCAATGGAAAGCGAAGAGCGTCACAACAAATGCTGGCTGTAAAGTAGATGGGAAAGGTTTTGGCAGCAGGTAAGGGTCACTACCGACAGCGCAGGAAAGCGCGGCGGGTCACTCAAAACAGGAACAAGTGTCAAAGTGAGAAGAACGTGACGTCGTCACAGACGACGACAGCCACTTTGCGGACCACAGAAGTCGTGCGCCAGACAGCGTGGGATATTCTGGCCGCCGAGGGCAAGGTGTCGGCGGAAGAGGTGGGACGGCATGTCGCTCAGTGCGGTCTGGAGTGTTCGCCACCAGAATGGCCGAGGGATGGTGCTGGACTGCTGGATTTCCAGGCCGAGCCGTCAGCTGACGGCCAGTTGCATTAGGCGCGGGGGGGGGGGCAACGTCGGCAGAAGCGCCGGCGTGCCTGACCCGTCGGTCTGTGTTTGCATGGGCCGGGCAGTTGGCATCTGACATGCCGGTGGCTGGGTGGCCGAGACTGGTGGTGGCGTGGCTGAAACGAGCCGCGGATCAGGCCAGTGGGGACTGAGACCCCCCCCCCCCCCTCCCCGACTGCGGATAGCGAGTTCGGGGCTCAAGTACAACACGTGACGGAGCGTGTGAAGGAGTCCGATCCGTCCCGTGGGCTGTGGGGAGTCACGAGACGCCGCGGTGGCGTGGACCGACGCCAGTTCGAGGGTTGTGGGCAGTCACGGGACGCCGCGGTGGCGTGGACCGACGCCAGTTCGAGGGTTGTGGGCAGTCACGGGACGCCGCGGTGGCGTGGGCCGACGCCAGTTCAGTTGAGCTGGGAGTTGTACTGACGTCCCCACAGCCGGTGAGGTGATCAAGGATGACGCGTGGTTGCGGACGGACTTCGACTCAGGCATGTGCATCAATATGTCTGGATGGACAGGGCTATCAACGGCGTTAACGTGGCGTTGACTTGAGTTTTTGTCCGGGTGGAACTGAGGACAGATTTGATGAAGCGTTGGTTAGACGAAGCACTGTCGGTGAAGCGTTGGTCAGACTACGCACTGTTGGTGAAGCGTTGGTGAGACGACGCGCTGTCAGTGAAGCGTTGGTTAGACGACGCACTGTCGGTGAAGCGTTGGTCAGACGACGCGCTGTAGGTGAAGCGTTGGTTTGACGACGCAGTGTCAGAGAAAGTATTTGCTAAGAACCATGGCGCAGTCCGAAATGCTGATTAAACGGAGAGAGGCTATGATTCAGCAGCTCGTGGAGGAACATGGACTGACAGTCACGGTTACTCTAGTGCCCGTGTTGCGCCCGGTTGCCGGTCGCTGAAGTCGATTCGGCGCTTCTCCCATCCGTCGCTGAGGTCGATGGTCTCCATTTCTTCCTCCTCTTCCGACCGCCGGTCCCCAAATAGCAGCAACCGCATTGGATTTTCCCACCGGACTCGCCGCGCGCTCCCGAGGCAGCACCGTGCGTGCATGGCTTAAAATGCGGTCGACATCAAACACCCCACCCACTCCCACCGCTTCACGCTCAGTGAATGAGACGGTCTTCGGTAATCTAGTGACGAAGATGGTCGTCAACGCCTTTTCTGGAACGCCTCGCACCAGCTCCGCTAACTGCTGCAGTTGGCGCCGGCTCAGCTGACCTCGCTGTGAATGGATCCGGGGTAAAGGCTCGCAAACGCCGCTTCTTCACACTCCGAAGGCGATACGAGGCCTGGCCGGGCATTCGAGACCAAACAGCATACACACCACCGTGCAGCCGGGCGGGCAACACCGCAATGGGGGACACCTTGCGCAGGCCGCATGGCAGCGTGGCCCGCTCTAACCATCCACAATGTTAATGGTTCTGTCGTATCCCGGAATGGATCTCTGATCAAACCCCTCTCTCTTCTCTGCCGGGGTCCGCTCTTGGCTGCGCCTCGTCCACCGCGATCCCAAATCTCGCTCTCAGCATCACTTCGTCGTCGTCACTTCGTCACCGTCATGTCATCACAAAACATCGCCGTCACATCGTCACATCGTCGTCGTCGTCTCACATCGTCACTTCCCGGCGCTTCGGCACATCCAGTATAGCTCTTTGAGACCGATTCAACGCCGAAGACGTCGTCGCCTGTGTTGCCGCACGCTTACATGCCGGCCGCGCCTCCCGCCCCGCCCGACGGCGCCTGCGGCCGGCGCCGAACACCCGACCCCCGCCGGCCATCCGACCCCGGCCTTGGCCGGAGGTGCCATCGCGGCCGCGCGGCTGCAGGTACCCCTCCCCCCCTCCCGGGACGGGTGTCCCGAGCGGGGCAGTC